GTTAAAACCCCATTAGATGCTATGTTATTTCAAAAATCTTCCTCGGATACCTCAGTTTTCGTCTTAATGACGGAACCTCTTTCTCTATTTTTATTGCTTCGTTTTTCAAAAGTGTCATTATTTTGGTCTCTCCTCCTTGTTTTGAGGCTTACCGAATGTATTCAGATGCTGTTTGTCAGCTAATTGTTACCTTTGTGGTTAAGGTTAAATTGTTAAACTCCATCAGATGTCATGTTATTTCAAAAATCTTCCTCGGATACCTCAGTCTCCTTCGTCTTAATGACGAAACCTCTTTCTCTATTATCAGTGCTTCGTTTTTCAAAAATGTCGAGTATCAATCACTTGACATGTTTCTCGGATTTCTTGAAATTTATCATTCTTTTCAAATTCGATAGCCTAGCTTTGAAGATTTTATTATTATTTTTTTTAATATTAAAAAGGCTTGTAATGGTTTTGTTTATATCTCCTTTCATTATAGTTAAACATATAGTTTACTCAAGTTGGTTCTTTTACGTTGTAATGACTCATTTTTTATTAAAACTTTACTCTATTTTTTTGTTTATTTGAAATGGTTGCACATAGAAAAAAAAACTTAAAAATTATTATAGTTAAGTGACAAAAATTAGATGCTAATGTAAAAGTCTCTAAATATGTGTTTATACCTCTAATTTAAATTTAAAATTTCCTATTTTAATATTATTTATTTTAGTTTTTATTATTAATATAATTTTATATATAATTTCTTTATCTATAATAATTTTTAAAAACAATAATAGAATTTGGAAACTTTTTAATTTTCAATGTTGAAGTGGACCAATTAAAAATTTAATAATTTTTTTTATTTAGCAATAATATTAGAATTTATAATTTTTTTTTAATTTTTTATTCAAAAATAATATTAGAATTTGTAAACTTTCCTTAATTTTGAATGTTGATGTGAACCAATAAAATTACCATTTTAAATCCTATGTAGACACCCTTAGAAGCATTTAGCTTCAACTTTTTATTAATACTAGATTTTGCACCCACGCTACGCGTAGGTATTTTGTTGATAAAAATTATATGCAACTAATTATACTTATTAAGATATAAATTTTATATATTAGTGTTTTAATAATATATTAAAATATTATAGTGTTGATCTAATAATTTTTTGTACATTGTGATATTTTAACGGTTTTGTTTTGAATCTATATACAGTATATCATATTTCAAAAATATATTATTAGTCAAACCCTTATAAGTTAATATACCAAAACCAACTAAAATTTTTACAACTTAATCAAATGTTACTTTTTAAACATAGTATTAACATGATAATAAAATATTATACATTCACTTATTTAAATCAAGAAGATAATTTTTTCCCATCATTTTCACTTATAAGTTAATCTTTTTTCTACTCTTGTTTAACAAATACAAATTTTTATTTTGATATATCAATTTAAAAAACAAACTTATAATTAAAATATTTGCTTTGAGATTAATAACAACTTTAAATTTGAAACTAAAACAATAGTTGAATATGAAATGAATAAAATCACACAAAATTTTTGAATAAATATATTTTTGTCAATTAGTAGTGTATTTAAATAATTTTTAATAATTATATGTCATCTCTTCTAATTAGAATCAAGTTTTCTTTTCATTTTTTTCATTTTTATTCTTGTTATATCTGTTTTTTCAATAAATCTATCATATTTATTTATTTTAATAATTTTTGTATGATTATATTCAGTTTCATCATATTCATTCTCACTTCTAATTGTAATTAAGTAGACAAAATCAGTACAATTTAATCCATACAAATTTATAAAAATGAAATAACAAATTGAACAACTCAAAACTAAGGAATTCTACATTAATCTATTGAATTCCAAATTGAATATATAAAATATAAATTTTTTGATCATTTTTGCAAAATATATTACATGAGAAAAAATATTACATACTTTCGCATAATATATTATATATATCGATAATATGTTTTGCATATGTTAAAAAAATAGATGAATATAAATCATAAATATTAGTTATTTAAAATTCTACATGAAAAGTTTTAAAATCAAGTAACTTAATCTTTTATAAGTAGCTATATTTTTTATAGATAATAAATTAAATTTGTGATTTAAACAGTGATAATGGAGATTTTAATATCATATTGATTTTTTTCTTTGTTAATAGAGATTTTTTTATTTGTTAATATATTTTTTAATCATAATATTAGAATTATGAAACTTTTTTTTAATTTATAATTTTGATATATACGAATAAAAATAAAATTTTAAATGCTGATGTGGATGCTTTGATAATAATATAGCTTTAACTATCATTAATAATAGATTAATTTTAATTAACAAATTTTCCTATATTATTTTGTATTAACAATATACTTTTATAATTTAAAAAAAAATTAGTTATTGATGTGAAATAATAAAATTGACCTTTTAAATTTTATTTGGATGTCTTTAGAGGCATATAGCTTTAACTTTTATTTTTCTTTAAATATATTTGTTTGTTAACAATATAATTTTAAAATTTAGAAATATTCTTAATTTTAAATATTGATGTGGACCAAGATAATTGAACTTTTAAATCATATATGGACATTCTTAAAGGCATATAGCTATAACTTTTATTAATAATCGATTTAGAAATCAAAACTGGAAAATCTCACACGAGCCTCATTGCGACAAGTGGTTTTAGCCTCTCCTCTTTATTTTGAGGCTTACCGAATGTATTCAGATGCTGCTTGGTCAGCTAATTGTTACTTTTGTGGTTCATGTTATGTTGTTAAAACCCATTCAGATGCTATGATAGTTCAAAATTTTTTCTCAGATATCTCAGTCTCCTCCGCCATGTTTTTTTCTCTATTTTCAGTGTTTGGTTTTTCAAAAGTGTCGAGTATCAATCACTTGACATATTTCTCGGATTGCTTGAAATTTATCATTGTTCTCAAATTTGGTGGCCAAGCTTTGAAGATTTTACGATATTTTTTTCAATATTAAAGCGGCTTATATTGCCTTTGTTTATATCTCTTTTCATTATATTCTTTATAATTAAGCTAATAATTAAACATATCGTTTAGTCAAGTTTGTTCTTGTAGTGGCTTTGTTTATATCTTCTTTCATTATATTCTTTGTAATTTAGCTAATAGTTAAACATATAGTTTAGTCAAGTTAGTTTTTTTACGTTGTAATAACTCATTTTTTAGTGAAATCATACACTATCTTTTGTTTTAGTTTATTTTAGATAGTTGCACACACAGGAAAAAAAAACTTAAAAATTATTATAATTATGTGACAAAAAAATTGGATGTTCATATAAGAGTCTCTAAATATGTGTGTATAATCTAATTTCAATTTAAAATTTCCTATTTTAATATTTTTTATTTTAGTTTTTTATTATTAATATCAATTTTATATATAATTTTTTTTTACTTTTAATAATTTTAAAAACAATAATAGAATTTGGAAATTTTTCAATTTTCAATGTTGAGGTGGACCAATAAATTTTTTTGTAAGATCAATAAACTTTCTTAATTTCCTTTTTCAGCAATAATATTATAATTTGTAAATTTTCCTTAATTTTGAATGTTGATGTTGACCAATAAAATTGATTTTTTAAATTCTATGTGGACATATTCTTAATTTTTTTTTTTTAGCAATAATATTACAATTTGTAATTTTTCCTTATTTTCAAGGATGCAGTAGAAGCCTCTCGGTCCTTCATGCCGAGATGGATTGCCTCCTATGAGCTATGTCATGTTTGAGAGAAAGACGGATGCTTTCGGTTCACTTTCAGACCGATTGTTCGGATCTTGTGAGTATGACAGAATCCCCAGCAGATTGGCCGTCTTTTACATCAGAGTTGGATTCTTTCTGTATTCTGCGAGAGAGCTTCTTAGAGTGCACCTTATCCCATATTCTGAGGATTCTAAATGTCCAGGCGGATAATCTCGCAAAAGTAGCCCAAGCAAGGGGAGCAATCTTTTCCTAAATCAATCATAACGAGCCGGTCAATGGTGATCTTCGGAACACACTTATGATATGCCAAATGTGATTGTAATAGTTGGGTAGAGGAAAAAAAAATGTGGACCAATAAAATTGATTTCTTAAATCCTATGTGGACACCTTTCGAAGCATTTAGCTTCAACTTTTATTTGTATAAGATATATATATATAAGAGAAGTCTTATTTGCTAATGGATAATTAGGTCCATTATTTTCCATATTCTTTTTTTGTTCTGATGCGAATTGTGTGTTTTGCTAGCAAGTTTTGGTTAAACCTTATAATTACACACAGCATGATAAAACTCAATACTTCTGTTATATGAAGTTTTCTTTCTACAAATAAATACTAAAACTTCCGTATCCAATTCATTTCATCAGAGTTTAGCTTTGACTTTATATCCTCATCGATTGATGCATATTTATGTCTTGACGAAATCCTCCATATATACAGTATTTAGATAAGATATGCACTTAAAAATCGATGATCTCCATTTTATAATAAATATCTTCGCAAGATATATAGGTTCTTCCTCAATAATCTCCACTGATAACAAGCATGGCCAACATCTACATGTACCTCGGACATGAGTTATTTTTAATGAGAATCATTCTATTTGTCAAGACAAAACTCTCGAAAAGAGAAGAGACAGGAACAGTCGTTGATAACCAACGAATTATCATGGCCACGGAGAATTGTTCAGAGAACAAAATCTGAATGGTGGAAACAGAGATAAGAACGACGGACAAAATCGATCTAAAACTATGCATTCAAAACAAATCTAAAGAGGTTATTACTATGTACAAAGAAACGATGAGAAACGAAAAGCAAAGGAACCGCAGACTGAGCCGGCGGCCCTGAAAATCAACAGCAGCGAACGAAAAGAGCCAAGCGAAGGCAGTTTCTTAGTCGCTTTACGAGAGTTTTTAATATAAAAAAGAGATATTCATTTATTTAATATAATAATAAGACTTATTTTACATTCGAGAAGTGAGAGAGAGAGAGAGATCACATATAGGACGACAGGAGACAGATATGCACGATGACGTTCATTAGACCCAGATTAAACAATAAACCCTAACTTAGCACGCAAGCAACTAGGACACATACACACAACACACACATCGACACTTGATAGTTAAGAGCCAATTAACTCTTAGAAATAAGAAACACTTCTTTATCCTCCTTAAACTTCTCCATGTCTCCTTTGATCTTCTCATCAATGTCAATGGTTGCTTCCATGTCGGCACTGTCCTGTGGCACCAAAGTTCTCATCTGTGATGAGCAAACCATCGAACTGAGCCTCACAACATCGACGACATGGTCAGATATGTCCTGAAGCTTAATCCCTGGTGGCTCCAAAACCTTCGTCCCAGGTTTCTTGTATATCAAGTAAAGCACCATCTGAAGCACTCCAAAGACGAAACCCAGAACATTTGGCAGCTGGAAAAAAATTTCGAAACATAAAAGAACATTAGCTCTCAACATAATAAGAAATGCAAATATGAAGAATATAGTAGACTTACGGCTACGTTCATGTCTTTATTGAGAAGCCCGTAGAAGAACCACATGACAGCCGATAAGGTTAGGAAGAAGGAGAGACCAAACGGCATAAACTCTGCACTCTTCGTTTTAATCACTTTCCTCTGTGTTTCCAAGATTTATTTAAACGATTAGAAGAATATTTTCAATGGATGAGTAAATAAGAAAGAGAGAGACATAGACTTACAATGATGCCAAGGGGTGCAACAAATACACATAGAGCAAAGACCATACAAACGTATCCAAGGACCGTAACACGTTTGTTGCCATGAAGCAGAAAGTATGTCAGGACAAAGATAAGGCCGAACGCAAACACATTCACAAATAGGACCAACTTGACCGTTAGAGTCTGCCATATCAAAACACACGGGTCAGTTAAAGCTATAATGATTCTTGTGTGTCAATATATTCAAGAACATAAGCTGTATTCATATTGAATAAGGACCTTTTCCTTCTTAGGAGCGTAGAAGAGGTAGACGGCAATGTAGAAGATCTGTATGACGAAAGAAACGGCGTTGATAGTGATCAGAATCATTACATTCTTCTTGATCATTGCGTAGTATATCCATAGCATCGCACTGAATAGGCCAATCACGTAAGGGATCGACTGATACCCTTCAGAAGATTTCCTCTTGTATATGCGAATGAACGTCGGTCTAATATATAAACAACATGTATGTTTAAAGCCTAGTTAAAACATTATACATATAAGTGAGGAAGGTACAGAGTTTAAGAGCACTTACATTGGGGCAAGACAGACGAGAAAGGAGATGATATTACCTACAAAATAGTTATCATTATGTTAGAATTTACTATATCTCATGTAAATGCATGCTTTTAAACGTATACGTAAACGTGAGAGGATATATGTATACCTAGAATGCCAAAGACAGTAGCCAAGACGGCTAGTGGAATTGCCATTTTTTAAAAAAATCTCTCTCTCTCTCTCTATGTAGCGAAATATTATTTTATACAAAAGAAAAATCTACTAACTAGAATCTCTCTCTCTCCTCTTCCTCTGTGAAAGAGAATGCAAGTTAACGAACGGGTAAACACTATAGGATCATATTGAGAGTCTGTTCAATGTATGATGCAATTGTTGATTGAGAAGTGTAGTGATTTATATAGGGAGGAGAAAAGTGTATCAACTTGCAAAATGCGTCTGTGAGTGAGAGAGAAAGAAGAAATAGTTTAAACTCAATGGGATGTATAGATAGTGGGCAAAAAGAATCAAAGAGCATTAGCTCTACTTTACAGTTGTTTTACGTCATGCCCCAAAGGTTCCTTCCTATTTATTTTCACCTAAGCCTAATCTTACCCGTCGTCTATTTTTTATGATTCGTCTACTCGTACGTAATTTCTGCGTTTTATGTAAACGGTAAAACCATTTCTTTAACCTTTTAAATAAGCAGATGTGCACACATGACTAAGTTTACTTGAATACCTGTTTCCTCCAAAAGAAAATTTTTGGTCACTATAGCATAATATGATTCATATACATTCGATGGCAGCTTTTGTGTATACAAATTTGACAGAAAAAATGAAGTAATTTGTGTATGAATTGGGTCTGATCAGTAAATCTCTTGTAAATTCACCATGAAATATATAATCATGTGAGGCCCATTTCAAAATTTATCCCGCAATTTTCAGTCAATAATATTGTTTGATGAGTAGAATAATTCACCATTGTGTCAATCCATTTAACTTGAAAAGTAAAATAAAAACGAATGATTTTGTGCGCACATTGATGTCGGCATGGGAAATTAACATGGTCTTATTTCATAAATCTTGTGGCAAATAATCAAACCCTAAAACCTAAAATGGGTGGGTATCTATCTAGCTCAGAAACTTATGAGCACTATAAACCTTAAATCTTGCAAGTACCATTCTGGTACATTCTAATGGACCCAATTTTTGGCCTTTCTGACGTGTCACCAACTCAAGTAGGTGTTGAGGATTACTACTGTCTACAACTCTCTAGTTTAGGGTTTTACTAATGCAATATGAGAACAAGTTGGGTTTTTTTTTCCTAAACAGAAATGTCATGCAGATAGTTCGTTTTCCAAATTGCAATGGCTCATTAGGGAAACCCCCTTGTGAAAATTTTCCCCCAACATATTAACAAAAGAAAAAAATAAGGAAATTTTTCCTCACCAACATTTTTAACTAAAGTATGTAATTTCGCTGAAACAAATGATGCAGCATGTAATCAATACACTTCTATTAGATGGATCCAAAATGTGTAGAGTTCATTGGTTATCAGTTTTGTGATGTATAATCTCTTTATTTGTTTCCTGTATACATACACTATAAATTGACTGAGTTTTTATTTTTATTTTTTACGTGGTGGTCTAGTGATATTTGTAAGTTTCCAAGGTTAGTAGTTCAACTCCTCTTGGAAAGGGTGATTTACACCTTATACGTGCTATCATTTACGGTTTGTCCCGGACAGTGGGGGAGATTATGAGCCAAATGTCCTAAGGTGTAACAAAAAAAAATGTTTTTTATTCTTTTAGCATTGTTTTTGTTTCCTATTTATAAACCAATCCACGTACACTGTTTACCTTGGGAACAAGGAGTATATTCAATTGATCGATGTTCTCCTCCCATGTTCTCTCTCATCTAATATTGCATCGAAGTGAAAAAAAAATATCTTAAGTTAATATCACCTCTTTGAAATTCTCTCGAAGATATGCTCTATTTTAATTTTATAGTATTTTTATTATCTACTTCGCAAATAATCAACTTTTTTTTTTTTAACTTTTTTTCTATTAAATAAAAAATAATAAGTTGGTTACATAAACTCCATAGGTATGAAGCTCAAGGCCTCCTTAACTAAGCTGTCGGCGGCTCATTTTCTTTCCTAGGAATTGAAACCAAAAAAACAGCAACAAAACAGTTTTGCGAATTCAGTTATGTCAAAAACTATGCCATAGACTTTCTTCAGGTGGTTGCCGGAGCTGATCGCCGCGATAAGAGTGGTGGAGTCCGATTGCATGCAAATCTCCTAGATCTTTTATGCATGTGCATCTTCCAAAGCCGATCAGAGGGCAATTGCCTCAGCCATTAACGGAGATGCTATATATAGATCAGAAGCTTGTCCTCTCCCCACTATTCGATTCCCAGATCTGAAGATCCATCCAAATTCCGCTGATTTGTTCTCTCCTTTCCAAGCCGCATCTGATTAGCAAATATTGAGTGGTCGGCTGTCGGGTTCATCTCCTCCAGATTGTGCATCCACCCATTCTATAGCTGCTCCAAAAGCTCTCGTGATGGTTTCCGCTGCAGAGATCACCTTATTTTCGAAGATCAGGTTATTTCTAGCCATCCACATCTGCCAACAGATCCAGGGGAGGATCAATCCTGGTATGAGTCCACAAGGGGGTAAGCTCACTATAGTCTTCCCTTTGATTAGTTCTTCTGCGAATTGGTGTATATCTGAAGTTAAATAATGTTCTTTTAGGGGAATTGAATTCCAAACAGTATCTGCAAACATGCAGTGGAAGAAGATGTGTGTCGTTGTTTCGGGTTCACCGCATCTCTTGCATTTCCCATCCGTGTCGACGCCTCGCCTTCTCAGGTTTTCACCGACTGGGAGTGCTTCATTGACAGCTTTCCAGAGAAAGGTTTTCAGCTTTGATGAGAAAGGTGCAGTCCATATGTTTGAGATCCAGTTAAAACTTAGCGGTGTTTCAGCTTCAACCGTTGGAATGTCCTTAGCCATAATAGAGGTATGGTAGCCCGACTTTGTGTTGTAGATACCCGAAAAGCTTGGGAGCCAATATCTCTGTCTACTGTTCCTTTTTTGCTGAGTTTGATGTTTAAGATATGTTGTTCTTCTGCAGGGAGAGTTTGCCGTATTCTTTTCATGTTCCAGGGCAACCGTGAGGTCTTTGGTGTGTTCAGTTGGTGGCCTGAAGGGTCGTCTAGGTTTGGAGGTTGAAAGCCAAGAGCCTCTTCAGATGCTCGTTGTTTTTCCATTGCCAATTGATCTTCCACGGTTTTGTGCAAAAAGATCTCGACCGATAAGAATACTGGTCCATCCATGTGAGGCTGAATTCGAAGTCTTCACTTTCATGAAACTCTCATAGTTGCAATACTTTTTGAACATGACTCTTGCCAGTAAACACTGTGGGTGTTGCCAAATTCTCCAGCTGAGCTTTGCTAGGAGTGCTTCATTGAAGCTATGGATGTCCCTGAAGCCTAATCATCCGGTCCTCTTTGATTTGGTAAGTCTATTCTATGAGACCCAGCTGATATACTTCTTTTCTGGTTTGGAATCCCACCAGAACCTCGTCAATGCAGATTTTATTTGCTTACAAAGACTGGCCAAGAGTTTGAAGCAGTTCATTGTGTATGTAGGTATTGCAGAAAGGACAGATTTCAGCATTATGATATTGCTTGCTCCCGAAAGGAAGTGTGTTGCCCATCCAGCTGATTTTTGTCGGATTCTGTCTACCAGAGACGTGAAGATATCCTTCTTCCTTCTTCCGAAGTGTTCAGAGAGGTCTAAATACTTTCCTTGACCTCCTTATTGAGTAATGTTTATGATGTTTTTCACTTTCTCTTTGAGAATATGATACTTGACTTCAGGTTATTTATTTGTTGTCCTGATGCCTCTTCGTATTGATGCAGGATGTTTCTGAGTTTCTTACAGCAAGAGGGCTCTGTTTTGCAAAAACATAGTGTCGTCTGCAAATAGGAGATGGTTAATTCTCGGACTGTTGGTTACAACCCAAATGCCAGCTAGAGAACCTCTGAATTTAGCATTCCTGTACAGGCCTGAGAGGACCTCTTCACACAGGATGAAGATAAACAGAGACAAGGGATCAGCTTGTCTTATTCCTCTACTTGGGATCACCAAACCAGATGCTGCACCATTCACCAGGTATGAGTAGGACACAGATGTTATGCAATGCATTACTAGCTTGATCCACTTGTGGTGAAAACCAAAACGCCTTAGCACATTCTCTATAAAATTCCATTCCAGCCTGTCGTACGCCTTACTCATGTCTGTTTTGATAGCCATGGCGCAATGCTTTTGAGCTTTTGATCTTTTTAGAAATTTAGTACTTCATGTGTGATCATGATGTTATCCGAGATTGTTCTACCCGGCACAAAAGCAGATTGGCTCTCAGAGATCAGGTTGGTCAGCAGTGGTTAGAGGCGCTTGGTGAGTATCTTCGAAACTATCTTGTAAAAGACATTGCACAGGGCGATAAATCTATATTCACACACAATCTTCGGGGATTTTACTTTACGGATAAGTCTTACATGGGTGTGGTTCAAAGAGCTTGAGAGAGAGCCCGTTCTGAAAAATTCTTGTATTTCCTTGCAGATTCGAGGTCCCACAGTTTGCCAGTTGGATTGGAAGAAGCTCGCTGAGAAACCATCTGGCCCTGGAGCCCTGTCCGGGTGGATGGCAAAGGTGGCATTGCGGATTTTTTTAGGAGAAGGTATGGCAAGAAGCTTGTTGTTGTCTTCCTCTGAAATACTTTGTTGAATGGCTTTCTCCACTGTTTCCCTATTATTTGAGCCATTAGATTCAAAAATCTTTTGGAAGTAAGATGCGATGACTTGTGAGATCTCAGATTCCTCAAAGTAGGCTTTCCCTTCATCGTCTTCTATTACTCAGAATTTGTTGATAGCTCGTTGTCCATTAGTGATAGCGTGAATATATCCGGTGTTCCTGTCTCCCAGCATCAGCCACAGGGTACGGCTACGTTGTTTCCAGTAGGCTTCCTCCTTCAGGTATTCGTCTTGGAGTTCTTTTTTAATGTTTTGTATCAGCGGGTTGTTTCCCTGAGGGTCTGACATTGTTGCTTTCAGCTTCCGCTTTTGTTCCTCAATAGCTTTTTGGCTGTTTGAGTGATGCTTGCGGTTCCAGACAGATATACCTTTCCTGCACAGGGCTATATGTGCTTCAACAGATAAGTTCTCTCTTGCATTCCATGTATCAGAGATTAGTTGCTTGATGTCACTATTGTTTTTCATTCTCTGGTCATATCTGAACAAACTTTCCTTTTTTTTTGAAGGTAACTCAAGGATTGTCATGATGGGTATGTGGTTAGAGCCTTTGAAGGGGAGAT